TTTTTTCGTTTTACTATTCATATATACCTAGCGCGATAATATTTTATATCTATTTCAATCCTGTAAAAGCGTTTTTAAATCCGTTCAATCGTTTCGGTGTTATCCATTATAATGCAAATGTCGGTAATTCCCGACTTTTCAGCATCCTCTTAATAGTTAAAAAATAAATCTTTGGTATTATATACGTTAATACTTGAACTTAATTAAAATATTTTGTTCATTTATTTGTACCAGTTTATTTTTATGACTTATTTAAATATGAAAGCATACTAATAAGGACAGGCACACTAATAGGGACACTTACCCTAGGTAGATTAACTTTTAACGATCGTCGGGATCAATCGTGACAAGACGGACATACAGACTGACCGCCCGCGGCTTGTCGTCACGCCTACTTATCCCTTGCACGCTGCCGCGTTAGCGCTAAGCATTTCGGCGATGGTTATTGCGCGATTGTTCTCGGTACGCTGCGGTTAACGTTCTTTGTTTCAATATGATTTTTGAATATAATTATTTTGCTTACGTTACGCCGAACGCCTGGTCAGCTCGAATAATTGTATAGGTTCTTTATAATGCTTACTGCTGCGAGGGCATCGGTCCCGCGACAAATTTTTGTCTCTAAATTATCTCAAGAACATCTTCTTAAGAAATAATGCAATAGTGACGGAATATCCTGTATATTAGGAATATTGTAAATAATAATAATAATAATATGTTTAATAAAAACAATTTTAAAAATTGTAAAAATAAAATTAAAAATAAATTAGACATCCACAGGATGTTCTAAATAGGACATCCGTTTCAATTCCAATAATAAACATCACATGGATATCTATTTTATATCCATGGACGTGCAGACGTGAATTGGATTTAAAATGGATGTCCTTGAAATATTAAGTGCTATTATATCTGTGTTTAAACAATAACAGAAATGTTATTCCGTAAAAACTGTAATTTTATATTTATTTATACTTTAATATGTAAACTTTATGACTGAAATATATGTTAATTATACGTATTTTATCTTTTTGACAACATCTATTTAATAGATGTACTACTGGTATATATCCGTTAACAATTAGTGTTTATAGATTATCATGAAGCATCAGTTTCCGGACGATCACAAAGATTGAGCAACGCTAGACAAAGTATAGAGCTTGGATGGGTGATTGCTTAGGAACATCTTAAAAGTAGTTTTCAAATATATATTTTAATTATAATTTTGTCGTGTATGCTCTTTCATTCTCTGATATATGTATAATGCTAATTAATAAAATTTTACGATCGTACTGAGATTGTTCTCAGAATATCGCTGTACTGTATGGGAATGTTATTCCCATATTTATTGAAATTAAATTATAGAAATGGAGAAACAATATCAAACGTCGATAAATAAAGGCTTTTAAGAATAACAAAAAGCAAATCATCTATCATAGACAAGGTCTGAAATCATTTCAATCTTTCTTGTTGACTTGATTACACGTATGTTATAGAGTTTAAATATTATTGTTAGAGATCACGTCTAATAAACAATAATATGAGTCGTTAAGAAACCTAGTTTTCTTTTGGGAATTAATTCTATTCCTTTATTCTTTAATATGTAGCATATTGGACATCAATATCTTATTAAGTAAATTCAGAATCTTTCATTGATATTAATCTAATCAAAAGAATGATTTTGTTCTAGCACGTTCTGTGATTACTAAATATTTCGACAAATCTAACTTTATATTATTAATATATTTTCCAATTCTGGTTTTTAGTTGTCTTTTAATCTGTCCTACGTACAATGCATCATAGTCTTTACAATTAATTTTACTACTGTTAAAATCAGATTTTTATTATTGTGTATCTTGATAAAATTGTTAAGTTTGTTTAATCTTCTAAAACCCATAGTAAATACAGATTATTTATTGATTAACGAGCTGCTATATTGGATATGTTGTGAATATACAGAATAACAAAATTTTAATATTCTGTTCTTTCTTGATATTATAATTGGTTTCAATAGTATTGTTATCTGGAGCAAACGTGCTATTAAATAGAAAATGATATTAAGTATATTTACATTTGTCTAATATCACTGTGACATTTCCTTTATTGGCTCCAGAAAATATAATATTTGAGTTCTTTTTACAAAATCATACCGTTCGTCTCTATTGAATACACATTTAAAAAATATAAAATTTTTATTATAAAAAGAACAGGACCCGTAACATTAAAATCCCACTATTCGTTTTCATAATCTTACTAAACATGAAAAAAATACTTTTCTATGTATTGTATTCTTAAGAAACATTGCAATGTGTGATACGAGTTTTTATCCTATACAAATAAAGAATCAATGTATTAGTCAAATATTTTATTGATACTGATTTATAATTAGTGATTTATTATACAACTTCTTTTTATTGCTAATTTCTTATCCCAAAAGTTCAATATAATTTTAAAATTTGATTTGATATAGAAATTTGGCTAGCGACATTGTTTTTGTAATCGAAAATTTATAAGAAGCATCTTCTCCAATTACAATTACTTATACTTAACAAAATTTTTTTATCGGTCTAATTATTAAAAATCTGTAATGGTAACTCATATTTCAGAGTTCCTACAATCTGGATTTAGTGGGATATGTACGTTTAAGAAGATTTTAAGATATTTGCAAAATTGGAAAGGCGCATGCATACAAAATAAATTAACAAATATTAATCCATATTTATTTACTGTGATATTTAGTAATTTCACAGTCATTAAATCTCCGCCATTATTCAATGCTACGTTTATTACAAATCAGGTACATTTTATTATTAAGAAATTTGTATAAAAATAATAAAGTATTTTTTCAACATATATCTATTATTTTTATAAATTAATATAAAATTTCTTTATATAAATTACAATTAAACAATAAGTAAATATATGTAACAGTAGTACACAATATTATTGCGCAAAATTAATATTTTTAAATATAGACAAAATTGATGTTTTATACTACAATTTATTATTATAATAATGTTATTTTTGTATTGATAAAATAAGATTATAAAATAATTTTTATATGACGAAAAATACTATATGTATAATTGAACTTTTTGTATTGAATTTTTCCTTTCATATTTCCTTATTTTCTCTTTTTACTTTTTTTCATAAAAGTTATTCTTCCACTTATTCATATTTATAATTATCTTAATTCTAACAATTATTTTTTAGATATGTCAAAGCAATATTTGCTTGCCAGTAAGAACTTATTACTGTTTGAAATCATTTTCTGCATGCAGTAAAACCAATATATCAGGATTTTGTATGAATTCTACGTGTATCAACATCGTAAAGGGTTTGAAATATGTAATTGGTCACAATGGTTCTACTGGTATTAATAACATTGACGTATATTTTAATATAGGAAATGTTTCTCATGCCTTTTATCAATATTTTGAAATCGAATACAATTGGATAGACTCAAATAATACAAAAATGTTCACTGGTAATGGAAATCCTGGGTACATGAGAGGTAAACCGATCATTATTGGCGTTTTTCATACTAATAAAAGCGATGATATTTTCTTCAATAAAACCAATGGATTTTTTACATTGCCTTTGGCTGGCAAAAATGGAGAGTGTGATCAAATTAATAGACATACCGTCTTATTTGGCGAAAACACTAAACTAACATGTTCTGTCAAATTGTTTATCAAGAATTTCACTGCGTCGTCTTGTACAGAACTACAAAATCTGACTATGCGTTTTTTAATAAAGGACTTCTTAAATATAAGCCAATATAATAATATTTATATCTCAAAACAGGGTAATTTTTCCAGTAAAAATATTATTGATTGGTTGCATGTCGTGTTTGATAGAATACCACAAAATATTATGACTGCACATACAATTGGAAAACGTATTTTTTGTTCAGGATTAGTTACATCTATGCATTTGAATGTTCTTTATTCTATGTTACCAAAACCCAAAACTATAACAAATTATAAAATATCTGGTGTTGGAATTACATTCAGCAAGGAAGAGGATATTAGCTGGCCGAAGTGTACATTAAAAAATTGTACAGATGTCCTCTATATCAATATTATTTCCTATGTTAATTTTTATGATGTTTCAAAGCCATCTAAATACTATTTTGCTGGCGGACCTAATTTAGATATTACATTGCCCTACGATTTCTTTTATCCTTTCTTGAATGGTTCAAAAATTATAGAAATACCAAATATATTGATTATTTTAATTATATATGTTTTATGGAGTATTTATATATATATATGTAATGTAATATATATTTATATTTAATTTATGTTCATACATATAATTTCAAAATTGGATTATTTTATTTTTGTATGTGCAAATTATAAAATTTATACATTTAAACTATGAACAATAAAAAATTTAAACATTTGAATTTTCAAATTCTTATATTTAGAATTAGGCAGTAAATAATCAATTTTTTTGAAAATTAGAGATTTAAAAATAAAAGAGAAAGGAAAGTAAAAATTAAAAAATTTGTAATGTAATATAAAAAATTGCAGAGATCTAATTTTGACAATATTTAATTAATGTAGTTATTACCACGATCATGCAATCAACAATACTTAATTACATGTATATGTATATGTGTGCCATAGAAAAATTATATTTGTCAAGAGAAAATATTTTCAAGTCATATTCAAATCGTAATAATTTAATAAAAACTTTTTTTAACATAATATCAAAAAATAATTATTTTAATAACATTACCAATATTTAGCAACATTAAATTAATTTTGGTTATCAATAAATTCAGTATTCAATAAATTGCTGATATACAAAATGTTATTTCATATAATTCGTGGTTTATCTCTTGTAGAGTAGAATAGGTCAAACTAAAAAAATTGTGGTTTGTTTTGCGACTTTTACAATAAATGATACAAATAATTAATTAATAAAGCGCAAATCTCAACGCGCATCTGCGCAATTTGACTATTTGAAAACAAGCATTTACATATATTTTTCTACGTACGTGGTATGGTATTGAAATAAGCGCTCTGACAAATTTTTTTTACTGCAGCATTCTTTCTAAGGAAGCATTCACATTAGGAATGGAAAAATAAAATGCGGAAAAGCAGAATTGCTGTTCAGTCAGAAATGATCGCCAATTTAATGTCGGATCGTCGATATGGTGATTTCGACGTCGATTCTATATCGATTGACTATCATTTTTGATTGGGTGCCATTTTATTGATTCATATAGCACTCATATTAATAAAAAAGATGTAATTTTCTTTACTTTTTCCAATCTCTATTTGAACATTTTTGTGGAATTATGGAAATAAAATATATTGGCAGCCACCAGCGCAACTTGTGATTAGTTCTAACAGCGATTTTAGCTGGTCTGCACCAATGTACACCAGTATGCCACCAATGCATAGTATAGGACTGGTGCAAATGGATGCAATGCAATTACATCAACTGTTTCCGAGTTCCGACTAATTTATCAGAGCCACTTTGTATACACCCAATATGCTTCTGTGCGGCATACCGAGTCCAGATAAATACACGACACTGGCGAGGGATTGTATTATTTGATCACACTGTAAAAAATTTTCATGTAAAATTACAACAATTATAGTGGGTAATTTTGGGACCCACTATTAAGTGTATATTTACACACAAATGTAAAATTGCAACCTCCAAATAGAATTATTTTTTTAATATTAATTAATCAATTTACGAAAGTAAATTTACAATTAAAGTTAAATTTATACAAATATATATGTATTAATACTTTTTGCACTTCTATTAGTACAAATTTAAATATGAAATTTATAATTAAAACATGTATTTTTTAAATATGTATTTGTAATAATATTCTGCATATTTGTAATATATTTTAAATAGTTAAATTTGTGATCCATTTAAATCACAGAGAGCACATAATATGTCTTAAAAATATATTATGTCCCAATTTTGGACATTGTGCTGTTGTGAGATGTATCATATTAATCGTTTTATTTAATCGATAATCTTGATAATATATAACAACATGCAGAAATATATAAAAATTATATTTATAAAATAATTTGTAGTGTCGTTTATTAATGTTTAAGTAGTAATATTTTATAGTAATATTTAATTTGTATTATAAATTATAAATGTGATAAGATTGCCAATATAAATAAAGAATCGTAGATAATAACTATTTAATTTTTTATTAATAATAATGTTGATAAGAATATAAAATAAATTTTTATCTCTTTTAATTTTTGTATGTAAAAAATTTTATAATATAATATAAAATACTTTTTATTGTAATCTTTAATTAGAAAGATAATATTATTTATCATTTATTTATAATTTTATAAACGTGGAGCTTTTTCTATTAAAAATATTTTATATTATATTATAAAATATTTTTTATTTATATTATTTATATTATATTATAAAATATTTTTGTAATCTTTAATTAGAAAAATAATATTATTTATTATCTATTCATAATCTTATAAACGTATAATTTTTTCTTCTTTTTAGATAAAAAAATGGAAACAAAATTTACTTTCTAACTCAATTTTGTGTATAATCAATATTGCATATACTGTACGTAAACTCAATTGTCTATCTATTGTGACTTCATTGTTTCGTTGATTTACAATAAAAAATAATATACATATGTGCATTTACATATAAAGGAAACTGTTATTAAGTAGTAATTAATATTAACAGTAAATAGAAGGTAACTATGTAGTATTCCAATATTAAACTTAAAGTTAATACAATACATTTTGATGAAAATATTACTTTTATGTAATGTTTTCTTTATCTACATTTTCAATGTCCCTCAATTTGTTAAAAAGTGATAATACTTTACATTTAACTGACACCTTAGATTTTGTACCGCTAGTTGGATGATTTTTTAAGAAATATTTCTGTACAAATTCTAAAGTGCATGTGTAATATGTGGGATATTTCATGTTCATGATGTAATATGCACACATCAACATTTCCAAAGCTTCGTAGAAACAATAATGTCCTTTCAATTTGTGACGCTTCTATAAATAAGTAAAACATTTGGTGTGTTGCATTATTTATAACAATAACATATACTCGTAAAAATATAATTACAATAATATTAAATCTGTATAATTATAGATAATTATGAGATAATAAGATTATCTTTAATAATAATGCATGGTGCAGCAAGAGGCGCTTCAATTTCTTTTAAAGTCGTTCCTTCCTATATAATCAATAAATAAACTTTATTACATTTAAAATTTAATGTTCTAACGATGCACCCCGTTATGCATCGTTCCTGGCCGAATATCCGCCGGATGCCGCCCGACCGATCATCTGTCGGGTCGCGGTGCACCCACCCCTTTTTTTAAACATCTCGGGATAGGCGCGAGCGTAACGAGATGACTCTACACAAGGAACGCATACCGGAGACGGCTGAGCGCGGCCGAACGCTCCCGAGGCTACCGATGCTAGCGCGTCAGCCAAAGAGCAGTCGGTAAAATTATTATTTTATTCTTTGTTAACGAAATAACCGAGCATGTATGATGGTATCCGTATCCGAGTGACCATCGCCATGGGTATAAAAAACCGGTGAAATACTCATCGAGACCGATTCCTGATCGTGCCGGCTAGCCCAACACGATATCCGTAGGAGTGCGAGACTTTCCCGGAACCAAGCGTTACTTGATCTCGGACCGAGCGATTCTCGGCAGGGCAAAACTCCGATCTCTTCGACGACGAGGCACCAAGCTTCCCCGGGACCAAGCGTTACTTGGTCTCGGACCGAACGATTCTCGGCAAGCCAACAGCCTCGGAGTCAAAGAGTTTTCTCCATCCTTCGACTATGGACCCCCGGGATATAGCGTTTCTCTATCCTGGTTGAGCGATTCTCAACCGTGGTCGATTCGCAAGTCCTCTCCCACGCCCGGGATGGCTTCCTGCTCGGGATAGAGGGGGAGATTTCTCTATCTCGGGCTGCCTGCTTTCGCCGAAGCTTCCTGTCATCATTCCGTCGCGCCGGACCTTTAAATTGTTTACGCGCCGGAACCTTTAAACGCGGGATTTAAAGCGCCAGCGAGATCGAGCGCGCGCTAGAGATGCGCACGACACGAGATAAATCTCGATCTCATCTTGAAATCGAGACGAGATTCGAGATCGGGATTACTTATAATATTCGAGATCAATATCGAGATTCACCACATCAAGATCTCGACGAGATCAAGATTATTGAAAATTCTCGTCAAGATCTCATTGAGATCTCGACAAAATATTTTATTATTTCATCGATCTAACGACACTATATGACGCTGTGGCTGCTGCACACATAAACCACGCAACGCGTAGCCACAGACATGAAGGATTATTGGTATAACATTATAAATGTTTTATTTTTAAATTGCGTAGTTTCATAGTGAAAATACGCAAGAAGTTATGACTCCTGTACAGCGCGATGTTCGTCGCACACGATATGCAATACTCAATAATGCACATTTTTAGATTGAAAACATCGGTAAAGTATTATTGAATAAATTACCTTTTTAAAAAAAGAGGTAAAAAAAATGCCAAGTGTACGCGTCCTCTGTACAAATGTTTCGCTATCAAAAATTAGCGCCAAAAATTTGTAGTTGTTAGTAAAATAAAATAACTTTAAAAAAATTAAGTGATATATATATTACTTGTAGAAAAAATACATATTATGAAATAATTTTCTAAAAAAGAGATAAAGGCGTTAAATATGTGCTACTCGAACAAAAAAATTATTGTACTAATTTTAAAAAAGTGATATGTACTAGTAATATGTACTAGTGATATCAATCAATAAATGGCGCCAAGTTACAATCCCATAAAAATTACGTAATCTTGCCCAAACCAAGT